TGAGGGACCACTGTATACAAAATGTGTCACTGTCTTTGCCCATAGGAGCAATTTATGTATTATGGGCCCCATGTGTTCTGTTAAGTGTATTTCAGATACTGCCAGGACCAAATGCTCTTTTTTGTAAAATAAATGCATAACATTTGGCGTGTGGTTGTGCTGCCAACTGTTTTCGAGTGATGGAAAGTATTCATTCTCCAAGTGAGTAAGATGATATAGATTCCTATCTCAGCAAATGTCACTAGTAGTGAAATTCTAAATACAAACTGTAATGCTTGGCTATTTTTTTTCCTGCAGTTTGCTGAGCAGACACTTTCACAGCCTTGTTGAATTTTCTTGCATCAGTAATATTGAACTTAATGCTCAAATCTTTTCATTTGTACAAAAAGTGCACAAGTAATTTTGTTGGATGGCTTTTACCTGAATCTAGGTTTGGTGCAAGTTGTTCATGAATGATGCCGTAGAGATGGTAAGAAAGGAGGAGTCAGCATGTTATTACAAACACAACCACTACAACCACACTGCTTGCTTTTTCACCCAGAGCCTTCTACTGAAAACATGTTGTTGATAATGGTTTGATGGACTACATACTGAATATTAGGGATGTTCCTACAAATTTGCTGGTCAATTAAGCTGGAGAACAAAAATCAGATGAGGTGGACAGGTCCTAAAGTCATAGAACAGAAAAAAAAAATGAGCTCAGTCTAATGCAGGGACGTCAAAGTCATTGGACACTGCGGGCCACATAAAGCCCACTTTGAGCTCAAGTTGGGTGGACCAGTTAAACTCCCCTTTCTATCAGTGTAAAGAACTTCTAGTCTAACATAGTGGAAAACACCCTGAAACACACTCGGAGACCAAACATTTCTTAAAAAAATGATGAATGTGAACCTGAGGCAGGAAGGTAAATCGTCAGACTGTGTGGAAGTGTCCGGTGAGCTTAAGGGGCTAAAAAGGCCCAGAGGTGGCTGATAGTTTTTGGTGGTTCTTTAGTACACTGCACTTGGTTTTATGAATTTGGAGTATTTTATAATGATCCTTGGCACTGAGTACTACTGGTGGGATAGCACCGATTTTCCATGTTTCATTATGCTTACATTGCAGCCAGCCAGTGTATTTGTGTGTTTTCTTTATCCTCTTGTATCAGTGAGTAATCTCATTGTGGTGGCTGTCTGTGTACCGAGAAGAGAGGGAACCCTAGAGCCCTTTTGGAGATGGTAATCAGACAAGATGACAACCCGTGGCCCAGACTGCAAACACTGACCATTGTTACATTCACAGTGTAAAATGCCTCAGCTGGGCGACAGCATGTCACCATCGTGTCATCACACTACCAACACTAGTAGTTCAATTAGTAACACGAGTATCACGGCCTCAAATGTGGATGACAAAACCGACAAATCACAAAAGCGAGACAAATTAACTTTATAGTTTGCCCACTGAAGAAGAGGAAATGAATCTACTCCGTGCAAGCAGCAAAGCACCATGTCTGTCAGGATGAAACTTATTTGTTGCGCTGCTCACTGGTGCGTGATTTCTGGTTACAGAAATGTCACTGACTTTCGGGTAAAATGTATAATTAGACAAACAGGTTTCTGACTAAGAAGTTCTTGGCAGAATGGAGGCTGAAATTGTAGTATTGACACTAAAAATTAAAAAAAAAAAAAAAAAATCTAACTGCAGTATCATTTCAGATTGGGTATTTTTTCCGTATCTTGTAATCATTGTTCCACATCCTCATCAATTTCCGATAACACCAAAGGGCTTTGTTTGTGATTATTAGCTTTAGTGACGCATAAAAAGTTCCATGTAAGCTGCACTGAACCTCATTAGGTGAAACTGAACATTATATGTAGGGCTGCAGAGCTGTATTTAGATGTTGGTGAATCAGAGGACCACCACCAAACACGTTTTGATCAGTGATTATAGGTTTGTTTTTAGCTGTGCATAATTAACTTTTGCTTTTTACTTGTTGTTTGTTAGTTTCACTTGGAAAAATTCAGCTTTTTTGATTATTAGACCAACTTTGCTGCATATCATCTGTTAAATTTGTTAAACCTGTTAAAGTGTAAAAAAAAAGTTTTTTTTGTTTGTTGTATTATTTTTTCTGAGCATACCCAATATTAATAAAATCTGATATTCTTTATTTGAAGTTGGAAATGAACAAATGGGATTGCATTTTACTGGGACAGATATTATTACAACAGGGACAATCAATAACTTCGAGAATATTGATGCTTTACCCACGTTGCAGTTATGTTTTCTTTGTGGTGACTTTGGCTATTACAGGAGCACAATAATGTTCAATCGAGGCATCAAATATTTGTTACTGACTATATCACATAAATTAGATTGTAAAAATCAGATATTGTGTTTTTCAAGCTGTGCCAGATGCTCTAGCTTTGCAGATTGGTTGGCGTTATTGATTTTATTTGTTTATCAGTTTGAGTTTTGAAACATTCAGGTTTTCTTTAATTTAGAAAATGAGTTTTATCACGTTTCAGTGCTCAGCTGTTTAGCCTGCCATACATCGGATTACGAAGTTTCTGGTTGCTTTGTGGTACATGAGGAGAATTTGAAGGAAAAATATATTTATGTGTCACATTTAAAGATATCAGTTAGTCACTTTTCTTTTTGTTTTGTTGTAAAAATCAC